GGGTGACTCTGGCTTATGGCCACCTGGTAATAGAGGAATCCTCAATGGAAGCTTTACCCCTCTCCCCAGTCAGCAGAGCTCTGGGTCTGCCTAGGATTCACTCCTCCTGGTCAGTGGAAGAAGGCAGCTGACTCCCCTCCCTCAGGGAGCACATGCTTCTCTCTGAACTCTGAGCCAGGGTAGCTTTCTTTTTTTTCTTTTCTTTTCTTTAAAAAAAAAATATTTTTATTGATTTCAGAGAGAAAGAGAGATAGAAACATCAATAATGAGAGGAATCATTGATCAGCTGCTTCCTGCACACCCTCTACTGGGGTTGGAGCCTGCAACCTGGGCATGTGCCCTGACCGGGACTCAAACCGTGACCTCCTGGTCCATAGATCATGCTCAACCACTGAGCCACGCTGCCGGGCAGGGTTGCTTTCTTGGGTGGAGGTTTCCAAAACTCTGAGTTGCCTTGCAGATCCCCATCTCACCGGTCAGCATGGCCATCTATCAGCAGAGAGGACCACTTCAGTTCTGAGGCCCAGGGTAATACAGAACCTTATTTAAGTTCCCACTGGAAGGAAGGAAGGAAGGAAGGAAGGAAGGAAGGAAGGAAGGAAGGAAGGAAGAAGGAAGGAAAGAAAGGAAGGAAGGAAGGAAGGAAGGAAGGAAGGAAGGAAGGAAGGAAGGAAGGAGGCATTTGTTTTTAATAACAGCTGTCACTGAGTAAGCAACTACTATGGGCCAGACATCATATTCTGCTTTATGCATGTGATCTGATTTAATCATACAAGAGTCCTATAATAATAGTTACTATTATCTTCATTTTGCAGATGAGCAAACTGTAGGTCAGAGAAGTTGAATAACATATCCAAAGTTAGAAAGCTAAAAGAATAGCAGAAACAAAATTTGAGCCCATGGCTGTCTGGCTTCTGAGAGTGTACCCATTTCACTGGCTGCCCTGCTGCCCTTACCTAATCCTCATTCCAGCCTGTGAGACAGAGTCTTATCCTCGCCCCCAGGATAGATGGAGCACAGAGCCTCAGTAAAGCTGATGATGTTACTGCTGCTAGAAGCAGGGAGAGGGTGGCTGTCGCTTCATCCATTTATTCAGGGTAATGTTGAGCTTAAAAGCACAAGCCCAAGAAAAATCGAGGCTGAGATTCTTACTATTAGGGTGACCTTGGTACTCACCCCTTTGAGTTTCGACCCTTTAAAATGGCGAGGATTGTCTAGTTGTAGGACAGTTGGGAGGACCACACAAGATAATGCATGTGAAGTGCTGAGCACGTGGGAAGTGTCTTTACTTAAAGCTCCCCTACCTCTGCCGTAGAGATTCAGATTTTGTTCAGATGCTTGACACATTATCCTGGTTAACTGTGCAGACCGATTAGCTTCTGAGCCTGGCCAATGTAAGAATTACTTGCCCAAAGTATAAATGCTTGGACCCCGCCCCAAGAGGTCTTGAATTAGGAGGACTGAGCTGGGGCTTAGGCCTTTTATATCTTTAATAAGTTCCCAGGTGATTATGATGCACAGCCATGTTTGGGGGAACCAACCTACTAGTGTAGACATCTCAGCCACAGTGGGGAAGAGACTCAGACTGGTTCCTCTCTAAGTTCCCTTCTCCCCTTTCTTGTCACCAGCACCTCTTTTGTCTACTTCCTCCCCACTGGCTTCTGAGTGCTCTCCCCAAATCAAGGTCTACATGGCTTAGCAGGAAGTCAGTGGCTCTCAGAGTATCATGGACCTGGCTCTCCAGAGGCCTGGGGACCCAGTGCAGGGCTGGGAGGCAGGATGCCAGTGCCCCATGGCCAGTAAGTCTCCAAGCTTCAGTTTTCTCCTGGTCAATAGATAAGGAAAGCAGAGTGGCCCATTTGGACTCTGCTTCCTTAGAAGTGTATCCCTGGCACCTGACAGCCAGAGAGCAGGTAGGGGAAGACGTGAAAGAATTCTGCCTAACTGTACTTCCCCATTGACATCTCATTTGATGTTCACAATGATAGGGCATAAAATCCAATGTCTACCTTGCTCTGTAACATCCACTGTTATCTGTCCCTAGCCTTAGCTCCAATATTATCTTCCCTTCCTCCTTCCTTTCTGGCCTGCTTGCTGTTCCTTGAATGCTCCACACTTGTTCCAATCTAGCTTTTGCACTATTTGCATGGCTTGGACTGCTTTTGCCAGGGATGACAACAAATCTGGTTCCTTCTTCTTATTCATGCTTCAGCTGACATGTTACCTGCTCAGAGAAGCTTTTGCCTAATCAGTCACCGAATCTAAATTGTCATCCCAAGCATTGGGACACATCGTTTTGTAGCACATACATAATTGTATTTTTCTGTTGTTGTTAATCCTCACCAGAGGATATTTTTTCCATTGATTTTTAGAAAGAGTGGAAGGGAGGGAGGGAGGAAGGGAGAGAGCGAGAGCGAGGGGGTGGGCGGGGGAAGAGAGAGAGAGAGAGAGAGAGAGAGAGAGAGAGAACCATCTATGTGAGAGAGGCACATTGATTGACTGCCTCCCGCATGCGCCCACACAGGGGCAGGGGATAGAATTTGCAACCCAGGTATGTGCCCCTGACTGGGAATCGAACCTGAGACTCTTTGGTCCTCGAGCTGATGCTCTAACCACTTATACACACCGGCCAGGGCCATTATTGTATTTTAGCGTTCATCCTGGCACTTGTCATCATAGCATCTATTTTTCCTTCTTTATTGACTTTGTCCTGCCCGTCTCCCCTATTATAGAATGTAAGCTCCTTGAAAGCACACCCGTGGCTGTCTGGTTTATTGCTGTGTCCCTGGTGCCTGAAGAGCATTCAGCGAATGTTGGGAATAAACAAGTTAATGAGATTGCCCCTGCATTAACTGCAATTTCTTTTTTGGTCATTGGACACTCAATGTTCTAAGAGGGGAAGTGACTGTCCCCAATACATTCCAGGCCTTTTGTCTTCCTTCCCAGGCCCTTCCCGTAAAACCTGGCTGACACACAAACCTCCCGGGGTGAGGCTTCCAGGTGTGATGAAAGCTTGGAGTTGCCCTGTGAATGGGACTAAGGCTGATGTGGGGGTGAGAAGGCGGAAGAGCACGCAAAGGGAGAGGCAGGCTGGAACAGGACAGCAGGGTGTGAACCTGGCCTTGGGTCAGGGAAAGGGTGGGTGCCTTGGCTGTGTGTCTGGAAGTGTTTCCCTCCCCGCTTCCCCGAGGAGAGCCATAACCCCAAGGTGGCTTTGTTTGGGGGAAGCAGGTGATCAGACAGCTGCTGAGGGAGAAAAAAAAAAAGGTGCGGCCTTCATGGTGACCATCCACGGAGGTCCTACCTAGGCCCAATACCTATCACCCAAAGGAGTAATTCCACAGTGGCACTTGGCCAAATAGGTGACAGGTTAAGCTTCCACCTGAAACCAGCCCAACCACAGCGTGGCACCTCATACAGGGGAGCAAAGGGAGAGAAGAGGCCTCTAAGGGAATGGAGTGATCAAGGTGGAATGCTTAGTGATGACGATGACGACGACGATGATGATGATTATAATGTCACAGTTATCGGGAGTTTATAATATGCCTGGCACTATACTAACTGCTTTATATGTGTTCCCTTGTTCAATCTTCAAAAACCCCTCTCCAAAGTAGGTGCTAATATTATTACTATTATCCCCTTTTCAGAGGTGTGGAAACTGAGGCTCAGTGAGATTAAATAACTTGTCCAAAGTCAGAAAGTAGAAAAGGCAGGATTCCAATTTAGGGCTGTAGTAATCCCAGTGCCCCTTAGAACCTAGGCTGGGAGGGCTGCCCGGGGCAGGTTAAGAGGGCAGAGCCTGACTGACCCCTGCAAAAGTGGGGATGGAGAGGGACAGTCGGATAGACGATGTATAAATAGCAGGCCTGTTTTTATCCCTACACATGGGCGGAAGCAGCGCTATCTGGCACAACTTGAGGGCTCTGAATGCCAACCCAGCCCTGTGTCATACAAATCCCTTCCCAGCACGTCCCTCCGAGCTGAAATACCTACTGAGAGTCATTTCTTTGGGTCAGGACATTGACTTCAGAAGACCCTAGTCACAGTAAAAAGGTTGGAAGAGAAACACATCAATCTCCTGGCACCTACTGAACAAAGCAACCCTAGGCTAGCTAGCCTCGTCCTGCAGGAGTGGGCTCAATTTTTATGTTGGGGAAGAAGGTGATATTCAAAGGCAAGGAAAAGTCTGAGGCTTGTTTCATAGCCTGTGTTGTCCAATCCCAGAAGCCTGGGAATTATAACCCATAGTTCAAAAATCCTAATGGATACTATGTCCTCTAGCGGAAAGATGGGGGGAGCCGCTCCCTGGCTGGAAGAGTCCTAACCTCCTTTGCTTTGGCTGGATTGAGACCAAGCGCCAGCAATTGCAACTCTGGTTACCCTGGGGCTCATGAGATCTGCTGGCATTCATGTGTCTACTTTTTAAATGATAAATAAATGTATTATTACTTACTACTTGTAGTGTTAGTAGGCAAAGAAGCGAGTTTCCACAACTCAGAAGCTGACATGGTGGAGAGCCCTGGTTTGGAGCAGGGAGGCCTTAGGGACTGGGCCTGGGAGAAGGGAAGGAATGAGGGGTGTCCACGAACAGAACTCAGCTCAGCGGTCACAAGGCTGCAGCGCGGCAAGGGTTTGGGGAAAGGTAGGAACTGGTTCCCGCCACCTGCCGGTCACCAGTCTTACCCACAGGCAGGCCCTGGCTGCCCTGGCCTGGTCTCAAAAAATGTGAGCGCCGCCCCTACTCCCACCCCCTTCCCGGTCGCGCCTGCCGGGTCGGGGGCTATTCTGCAGGCGCCGGGA